AGAGGGCCCTTCTAGGTTAGCCTTCTGATCAATTATCTTCTGTCGCTCTTCTCTTTATCAGATTGTTAATTTCTTCCACGTATCCTCTCTCGGGATGGCCCGTGTGAAGGACTCAAACCCCCTCACCTCATGGTCGAGTCCTCAGGTTGGCTCACCTTCTCTGTGCCATGGCATCCCGGGATCGAACCGTATCATATCAAATTATTACATGAATTGATAGTGTGATTCTTTCCACATGACTCTTGCTCAAAACAAAGTTTCCTAATAGATTCCTAATAAAGTCATTCATTTCGGTTCATATTCATATAGCCAGTCGATCTCACAAGCATTAATAAATCACTCTTCTATATTTTGACAATACTTGGGATAGTCTTATATCTACTGCTGACTGTTCTATTTCATATATATATATATGTATGTGTGTGTGTGTGTGTGTGTGTGTGTGATTTGTATATATATATATATATATATGCATTTATATTTATAACAGAGGAACGAATTAATCATTATTCTAAAACTGAGTAGAAATATTTCAGACAGTCACAGAGTTAGTGCTTGATATTACTTGATACTGCCTAGTTAGGTTCAAGACATAAGGGTTTATGCGCCAGGATCGTAAAATACCTAAACGGATTTTGGTGTTTCTTCTATATCTATTATCGTATGAATTTGAAAAATTATCTTATATAAATCTGATTTCGGATGATCTAAAGCTAAATGCGTGTCAAAAGATGATACAGAGTTTGGGATATACATTTTCCTTATTTTCAATGAAAAAGGAATGTTAAGAATATCTATTTTTCAGTACTATGGGATTTATTGGAAAAATTGTATATCTTAAATATCTGATAGACTTTTTATCCATTTTGGATTTTCTTCTTTTTTTTGTCAAAAAAAAATATAAATTATTTCGTTTATTTGATCATCTTGTACTCAATTCCATTTAATTCCATTTTGTCGTTCATATTTATTTAAAACGTTTAATTAATCACGAAGTAAAAGATTAATATTAATGAACTTATTTGATTTTCTTTTAGGCTACAATTCACTTACGTGAGACTACTAGAGAATTTCAGGTCTCAGTGATGTGATGCATGAGTAAAATTTCAGAATTATTAAAAAATAAGATCTTTATTTCATATATAAGGAAAATGCTATACAAATTCCTTTACACCATTCTCTCTATAACAATCCATTACTTAAGCATAGGCGGGAGGAGCGGGCTTGTAGGTGGGCTTGTACTCGGGGTACTGAGCCTCGCCCTCGTAGGTGACCTCAGCTACATAACCGTCGCCGTTGTCCACGTACTTCACGATCTGCTTGCGGCCGTCAGGGAGGTCGACAGAGTAGCCGCCCTCGGTCTTGTAGCCTTCGCGGGACTCCGAGGCGGCGAAGTTGGCGCCGGAGTAACCGTCGGCGACACCGTAGTTGTAGTTGTACTTCGGGGGCACCTGAGGAGGAGAAAGTTTAATGTGAAATGCTTCTCTTTATGTATCCATGGTACTTTGCATGTCTATAGAAATTCGTATGTGAAAATGCTCAAAGAATCGGAATACATTAGATAACTATCTAATACTAATTTGTATTGCTTAGTCATTGCACAATACTCACATCAGGGTATTCTGGCTCGTAGTGTGCATTGGGCTTTATAGGCGGGTTCGGGGGCGTGGTAAGGTGCAGGGGCGTGATAGGCAGGTCTAGAGGTGTAGACGGGGGGGTGAGGAGCATGGACTGGTGCCTTGTCGCACAGAGCGACGACAGCCACGCAGGCGAGGACGACGACCTGAGGACAGTGTTGCAAGTTATTTAGGAGAAAATGGAAGAAAGATGGATTATCTTAGCAAATATTTACATTTACCAAGTGAGATAAAAAATCCGAATTCTTTTCACAGGACTTCGTACCTTGAGAGACATGGTTGAGTGTATATGATGATCAGTGGTTAATACTTCCCCTTATATATGCGACAGTGTGTGTTCGTGCGTTGGCTCCGCTGTAGGCCTTTCTCTCGTGGCCTGAGGGGACGACGATCGAGCCCTTGAAATGTATTCTTTCCAATCTCAACGGGACAATAATTATTCTCTGTACAATTATTTTGATATTGCCATTATCATATATGCTATACTTAGTTTATGTCGATGCAACTGGAAATTTCTCTATTTGCATGTCTATCAATCTATCTATTAATATACCTACCTACATATTATGTACACACAGACACACACACATATATATATATATATAGATATACATATCAACAACCAGACAGAGTGTTTATCAGGGGATCCGCGTCCATACATGAATAGTACAACTCTTCATGTATGGCCGGGGATAAACATCTATCTAAACGTATCTATCACGAAAAGAAACGCACACGGTCCTTTCAGATTAGCTCTGTGACCAATCATCTTCTGTCGCTCTTCTTCTTATGAGTCATCTTCTCCCAGGTGTTTTCTCTTGGGATGGCTCGTGTGAAGATCTCTACCCCCCCCCCCCACCTCCTCACCTCATGTTCGAGTCCTCAAGTTCTTCCTCAAGCTCTTCTCTGTGCCATGACATGACAGCACCGTGGCATTCTATTGTATCCTTGGACTCAAAATTCAATTTCTTTTCTTCCTCTTTTCTTTATCCATTCTTCATAACTGAAAGATTATAGGAATATATTTGATAAAAAAATATTTTATTCAGAGCAAAGGATTTTCTCGTACCCCTAATCGTACAGGGAAGCTTTTGTTTCTAAGAGTAACAGAGCTGTTCCTTGTCCAATGAAAAATCCTGAACGAGAGCCTCCTAAAAGTTCTCGATCCCCAGTAAAAAAAAAAGAAAGAAAAAAAAAGAGAAAAAAGAAAAGAAAAGACATAAGCAAACCAAACTATCATACGCCTCGTTGTAACTTGTGTTCGTCATATTACTCATTCTTTTCTTATTTTTTTTGAGTAGTTAGTGGGAAGATCTACACTCTCTCCCCCAGACGCCCTTTAATACATTGAACGTATATTTATAATGATTTATCAATTTATGTATTCCTTTGCCAATATTCTTTTAATTATATGTACATAATGAATTTAAATAGTGAATGCCCACCTTCCCCCCCTCAAAAAAAAAAAAAAAAACGAATCAAAAGAAAACGATCAAAAAATATTAGAATGTTATACATGTACGGGTAGTATAATTCTTTCCTCGTGAGTAACTGCCCAAAAGAAAGCTTTTTAATAGAGGATCACAATTAATGTCATTCATTTCGGACCATATTCATAAAGCCCGTCATACTCGCTATCATTAACAAACCACTCTTCCTTACACACTTATTTGGTATTTTGCCCATTTCATTTCTCACGGAGTTTAAAAATGGATATCTTTTGACGATACTTGGGATACTGTTATATATGTTGCTGCCTATTCCGTTACATATATATATATATATATATATATATATATATATATAGATAGATAGATAGATATATATATGCATATATATATGTACATATATATACATATATATGCACATATATATTCATATGTATGCATATATATATATGTATATATGTATATATATATATATATATATATATATATATATATGCATATATATTTATATATGTGTGTGTGTGTCTGCAAACAAATGAAAAGAGAAAGAGATATTGGTAAGTAGATAAGTTAACAAATATATAAAAAGATATAGATAGAAAGATCAGTAGACAAGCAGATTATGCATAGGAGAATGTGTATCTCTATAATAATAATTTAGGATTTGGTGTGGCATTGTGGCTTTCTATTCTCTATGTGCAAGGAATGGCCGGAGTTACCATCATATAACGACGCGATAATTAGGTATTAAAAGAATTATATTCTAATAACACAAAGGTTGGAATATTCCCTTTTCATGTTTTGAATTATTTAGGAATGTCAAGAATATCTATTTCTGTGCACTATGGAAAATATGAGAAATATTTGTCGACCTTAAACATCAGATATACGTATTTGTTCCATTTAGAATTTTTTGTCAAAAGAATGTATTTATGGTTTAGTTTTTTGTTTTTTTTTTGTCTGATTCGCGAGGCAGAGCCTCGCCCGGGCTATGCCCATGAGGGGAGCCCAGTGTGATATATGGTTTAGTGTTAGAAGATTGTGTATATTGTGACATTGTTTCTTTTACTTGATCATCTTCATTTAAGTATATTTTGCCATTTATTTATTTAATTAAAACCGTGTTACCTAATCAATCATGAGGCAAAATGTTAATATCAATGAAATTGTTTGTTTCAGTCAATAATTCATTTGATTTTTCTATGGTGTGATGAATGAGTGAAATTTCAGAATTATAAAAAAAAATATCTTTATTTTACATATGAGAATATACAATACAAATTCCTTTATATAATTTTCTCTAAAATTCTTTCGTTCTTAGGCATAGGTGGGGGGAGCGGGCTTGTAGGTGGGCTTGTACTCGGGGTACTGAGCCTCGCCCTCGTAGGTGACCTCAGCTACATAACCGTCGCCGTTGTCCACGTACTTAACGATCTGCTTGCGGCTGTCGGGGAGGTCCACGGTGTAGCCGCCCTCGGTCTTGTAGCCTTCGCGGGACTCCGAGGCGGCGAAGTTGGCGCCGGAGTAGCCATCGGCGACGCCGTAGTTGTAGTTGTACTTCGGGGGCACCTGAGGAGGAGAAAGTTTAATATGAAACGTTTCTCATTATGTGTCCTTGGTACTTTGCATGGAATATATAAAAATGGTTAAAGAATCAGAAGACATTAGATAACTGTCTCTTAATATTACTTTGTATTACTTAGTGATTGCACAATACTCACATCAGGGTATTCTGGCTCGTAGTGTGCATGGGCGTGGTAGGCGGGTTCGGGGGCGTGGTAGGCGGGTTCGGGGGCGTGGTAGGCGGGCTCGGGGGCGTGGTAGGCGGGTTCGGGGGCGTGGTAGGCGGGTTCGGGGGCGTGGTAGGCGGGTTCGGGGGCGTGGTAGGCGGGTTCGGGGGCGTGGTAAGGTACTGGGGCGTGATAAGCGGGCCTAGGGGTGTAGACGGGGGGATGAGGGGCGTGGACTGGGGCCTTGTCGCACAGAGCGACGACAACCACGCAGGCGAGGACGGCGACCTAAGGACAGTGTTACATGTTAATTGTTATTTTGAAGACAAAAAAAAAAACATAACAAAAAGATATAATCTACCAAGAGGGAGATAAAAGCATGAATAAAAATTAACTATAAGATAGACACAAGTCTAATCAAACAATTTTTGCGTTTTATTAACCACAATCACTTTCTTTCCTCTCACTGAAATTCAACTCTTCGCAAATTCCTACACAGATAAAATATCCGATTTTTTCACAGGAGGATTTCGTACCTTGAGAGACATGGTTGGAGTGTGTATGATGTTCAGTGGTTAACATTACCCCATATATATCCGACAGTGTGCGTGCGTTCGTGCGTTGGCTCTGCTGTAGGCCTTTCTCTAATGGCCCGAGGGAGTGATTATCGAGCCCTTGAAATGCATTGTTTCTATTCTCTGCGGGACAATGATGATTCTCTGTACTATGATTTTGACATTCCCGTTATCGTATATGGCTATACTCAAAGTAGTCATATAGATGCAACTGGAAATTTCTTTATATGCAATGTATTTAATGTAGGTATATATAGGTAGATGTGTATATCTATTAATCAATCATCTACCTATCTAGCTATATATATACATTAGCACCTACATAAGCATCTATCTATCAAAGCATATATCGCGAAAAGAAACGTAGAGGTCCCTTTCAGATGAGCCCTGTGGCCGATTATCTTCTGTCTTCATTAAACTGTCAACTTTTCCCACGTGTTTTCTCTCGTGTGAAGGTCTCTACTGTTCGAGTCCTCAGGTTGGCCCACCTTCCTTGTGCCTTGGCATGGTAGTACTGTGGCATCCTAGGACTTAATCCTGCCATCCTTGAACTTAAAATTCCTTTTCTTTCTTATCCGTTCTTCAAATACCAAAATAATAATAATATAGATATTGATTCATAATTAGCGGTTTCTCTTGTACCCTTAATGGTGCAGGATTGCATTTTTCATTTTACCTTCGTCTTTCGAAAATCCTGAATGAGACCCCCCTGACAGGATTTGATCTTTAGTAAACAAACAAAAAAAATATTCATTGAAGGTCATCATTTTACCAAACATTTTTCTTTTTTTTCTTTTTGGTGTAAATGGGGGAAGATCTACACTCTTTCCCCCCCAACTACCCTTTAATTAATTTCGTCCCTACTCTGTTAGGAAACTTTCTTACACGTGAATTTGAATCACGCTATCTGTTCATGTATCTTTTTTTTCTTCTTCTATAGGTTTCTAGTACCTTTCTCTTGGTTGGTTTTATTTTCATTTTATTTACTCACGCAAGTTCTTTACATAATCAAGTTTTTTTTTTCTCTTTATCTCGGTAAAAGTTTAAAGGACAGTAACTTTTGCCTCAATTCAACTCCTAATTTCACTGTAATATATTTTATAAAAGAAACAAAGACAATGACAGTAACGAGTGAACATAGGAATTAAAAACTCATACTAACTACACGGTTAGTAGTGCAACATCCTCCGTTTCACATTGCCTGCCATTCTTAAAGCCAACATTGAGTCACTTTATCATAACACTTAATCCACTGACAGATTTAGCTATCATACTTTTATTTACTTTTTTCGACATTGTCATACCACTTGCTGCTCTATTAATTCCAAATATGTCTACATATGTGGATAGATGCATACATACACACACAGACAGGTTTAGCCATCATATTTTTATTTACTTTATTTCGACAGTCACTTGCTACCTCATCCATTTCAAATATGTTTGCATATGTGGATAGATGCATACATACACACACAGACAGGTTCAGCTATCATATTTATATTTTCTTTTTTCGACATTGTCATACCACTTGCTGCCCCATTCATTCCAAATATGGATATATATGTGGATAGATACATACATATATACACAGACGTGTAGATAGGCATATAGATAGATAGACTGGAAATTAGATAGATAGATAGAAATATAGAGTGAATTTTAGATAGATTAATAGATAGGGACATAGATAAATGTATTGATAGAAATATGAATTGATATATGGACCTGAGTATATGTCTGTATATGTATTTTTATGTATGTGTATTTGAATAATTTTTACATGAACCCCGTGTAACAGGTAAATGGTAAGTGCATATTTTAAATTTATAATTTATTAGTGCTCTGCCTTAGGTTTTTTATTTATGGATCAGCAAAGCAAAGACCATTTGAAGAGGGCTAAGCTTAGCACAAAAAATATTTAATTATTATTGAAGTATTGGCTGTAAGATATATTTCATTTTAATGCTAGATACTGAATTTAATACTGACTTCAAATAAACGTTATCATAGAGTTTATGCATTAATTGGACACATAAATCAGCTTTCTTGTACGAATTGGCATAATTTTCTTATTAAAAAAATGTTATTAAAGATGATCTAAACTTATTCTTCGTCAACACTAAGTGAGAGTTGGTGATTTATATTCTAATAACACAAAAGTAGGAAAACACTTTTTTCCTTATTTCTAAATAGCAAAGGAATGCCGAGATATGATATGAACATTATGAGAATATTTTGTTTTTTTTCACTGAAATTAAATAAACGTACTTGACCTCCTTTAGATGTTTTATCCAATAATATAATCATTTACTATCAGCTGATATAGAATCAACGCATTAATAACATATTATGATATTTCTTTTACTTGATCATTCTTGTCCTTGCGGGATGTTGATTCCTTAAACATTTTGTTGATTTTTATGGTTTTTACTTGTTTTATTTCTCAGTCAAGACGTATCGAATAATTTTCATCGAGCTAAGGTGATTTAATTATGTAAAAGTCCTGAATTCAGTTACGTCAGACTTTTTTAAGAATTTCAAATGTCCATGGTGTGATGTATGAATAAATTTTCAATTCTATAAAAATAAGATCTTTATTTCATATTTCATATATGAGAAAATATATTTCGTTGAATATATGTCCCTATTACATATTCCTTTATATATTTCCCTCTGTAAGCATTCATTATTTAAGTATAGGTGGGGGTAGGGTGGGCGTAGGCGGGGGGAGCGGGCCTGTAAGAGGGCGTGTGCTCGGGGTACTGAGCCTCGCCCTCGTAGGTGACCTCAGCTACATAACCGTCGCCGTTGTCCACGTACTTGACGATCTGCTTGCGGCCGTCGGGGAGGTCGACGGTGTAGCTGCCCTCGGTCTTGTAGCCGTCGCGGGACTCCGAGGCGGCGAAGTTGGCGCCGGAGTAGCCGTCGGCGACGCCGTAGTTGTAGTTGTACTTCGGGGCCACCTGAGGAGGCAGAAGTTTGGTTATAAAATCCCTGGTACCGAGGATACTAACAAAAGTGAATGCGAAAGTCTTACTTTACTTTTACGTATAATATAAAAGCATAATAAGAAATCGTCCATGGTAAACGTGATGATGCTCTCTTAATTATCATTTGTATTGATTACAAAACTACTTACAGCAGGATATTCGGGCTCGTAGTGTGCGTGGGCGTGGTAGGCGGGTCGGGGGCGTGGTAGGCGGGTTCGGGGGCGTGGTAGGGGGTGCGTGATAGGGAGCGGGCTTGTAGGTGGGCTTGTACTCGGGGTACTGAGCCTCGCCCTCGTAGGTGACCTCAGCTACATAACCGTCGCCGTTGTCCACGTACTTGACGATCTGCTTGCGGCCGTCGGGGAGGTCGACGGTGTAGCTGCCCTCGGTCTTGTAGCCGTCGCGGGACTCCGAGGCGGCGAAGTTGGCGCCGGAGTAGCCGTCGGCGACGCCGTAGTTGTAGTTGTACTTCGGGGGCACCTGAGGAGGTGAGAATTTTATGAAATTTCTTTCTCCGCGAATAATTAGGGTTCTTTGCATGCTTATAGAAATGAATACGGAAATTTAACAAATAAATGGAAGGTTGGAAGTCGATGATAGACTTACATCAGGGTATTCGGGCTCGTAGTGTGCGTGGGCATGATAAGCGGGCTCGGGGGCGTGGTAGGTAGGTTCTGGAGCGTGATAGGCAGGCTCGGGGGCGTGGTAGGCGGGTTCGGGGGCGTGGTAAGCAGGCTCGGGGGCGTGATAGGCGGGTTCGGGGGCGTGGTAAGCAGGCTCGGGGGCGTGGTAAGCAGGCTCGGGGGCGCGGTAGGCGGGTCCGGGGGCGTGGTAGGCGGGTTCGGGGGCGTGGTAGGCGGGTTCGGGGGCGTGGTAAGGTGTGGGTCTAGGTGTATAGACGAGGGGAAGGGGGTTGTGGACAGGGGCCTTGTCGCACAGAGCGACGACAGCCACACAAGCGAGGACGACGACCTGTGGACAGAATTGCATTATAAGGAAACACCTAACGAAACAATATGCTTATCAGGTGCAGAAACAGAAAAAGTATTATCGATCGGATAGGCACATGCTTGACAGTCAATATTCGCATTTATGTCTCAAATATGCATGCCTATATGTGTGTGTGTGGAGTAGACAATCACTGTTGAAACCCAACACAATAAATTTCTTAGGAGATAAAAAGTGTGAATTCCTTTTCACATGAGGATTTCGTACCTTGAGAGACATGGTTGGAGTGTGAATGATAAATGTTGGTAGACATTTTTCCTTATATATGTGACAATATGCGTACGTTCGTGCGTTGGCTCCGCGGTAGGCCTTTCTCTCGTGGCCTGAGGGGATGATTATCGAGCCCTTGATATGCACTGTTCTAATCGTCAACAGGACAGTGAAAATTCTCTGTACAAAGATTTTGATAATGCCACTATTGCATATGCTATAGTCAGGTAATCATATGAATATAATTGGACATTGTTTTATTTGCAATCTAGTTAATATCATATATGAGTGTTTGTGCGTGCATATATTGTGTGTGTGTACATACACACATACAATATACATATATATATATACATATATACATATACATTTATAAATCATATATATATACTTTATAATAAATAATTCTAAACATATATGTTGCGAAAGAAATCAAAGCACTTTCAGATGTGACCAATTACCTTCTGTCGCTCCTCTTATCCGACTGTCGCCATGTGTTTTCTCTCGGGATGGCCCGCTTGAAGGCCTCTAACCTCCACGTCTGGTGTCCGAGTCCTCAGCTTGACCAATCTTCCCCGTGCTATGACATGACAGTGCCATGGTTATCCCTGGACTTAACCCTGTTATATCCTTGAATTCAAATTTCCTTTTCTATTCTTATGCGTTCTTCAAATGCTTAAAGAATGTACGAAACAAATAATATAGATATTCATTTATAGTCAACGGTTTCCCTTATACCTCGAATGGTGCAATTTTCATTTTGCCTTCGGAGAGTGGCAAAGCTTTTGTGCATCATTTTGAAAACATCTTTTATGAGGGTTTTGATATATAGTAAACAAACAAATAAACAAAAATGTTATTCATTATCCCCATTTTTTTTCTTTCTGTTTTGTGTGTATGGGGGAAGGGTCTACATTCTCCCTCCCCCCCACCACCCCTACTCGTTATTTAATGCCATCCCTGCTCTGTTAGGAAAGTTTTTTTTTCCAAGCAGCTGCTCACCAGAATGTGATTGACACTATCAGTTCATGTATCATATTTTCTATAGGTTTCTAGTGTCCTACTTTCGGTTGTCTTTTTTTTTCAATTTTGGTCACTTAGAATCTTTACATAATATTTTTTTTCTCGGTCACAGTTTATATGACCAGTAACTTTTGTCTAGTCTCTGAATTCTTGATTTCACTGTAATATGTTTTATAAGAAAGAAAAACAATAGCAGTAACGAGCAAATATAGGAATTAATAAATCATGCTAACCACACGTTCAATTCAGTACTGTAATACCTTTTTTCACATTACCTGTCATTCTTGAAGCCAATATTGAGTTATTTTATCATAACACTCAATCCTCTGACAGTTTAAGCTATCCTACTTTATATGCTTTATTTCGACACTGTCATATCACTTGCTGCCCAATCCATTTCAAATATGTGTGCATATGTGGATAGATGCATACATACATACTCAAACATATAGAGAAGTGGATAGATAGAATATGAAACATATGAGTGAATTTTAGGAATAGAGTAATAGATAGGTGACATAGAATAGATGTACATGATAGAAATATGAATTGATGTATGGACCTGAGTAAATAATGTCTGTGATATGTATTTTTATGGTATGTGTATTTGAATAATTTTTACATGAACCCCAGTGTAAATAGGTAATCGGTAAGTGGCTATTTTAAATTTATAATTTATTAGTGCTGCTGCCTTAGGGTTTTTATTTAATGGATCAGCAAAGCAAAGACCATTTGAAGAGGGCTAAGCTTAAGCACAAAAATAGATAAATAAAGCGTTATTGAAGTATTGAGTAAAAGTATGCGATATTATCACAGATATGTTGCAAGATATTACTTAATATCTAACACTAAATTCAAATAAACATTATCATACAGACAAATGTATTAATTGGATTTTCATATAGATTAGCTTTCTTAGAATATAGAAAGCTAATACCTTCATGATGTTATATATTGCTTACGTTAGGTTTAACATACATGGATTTATACGCCAAGACATAAAAAGAGAAGAAAAAAAGTGTGGATTGATGCTGAATCCAATATTGTAAGAACTGGCATAATTATCTTATATAAAAAAAAATGACATTGAAAAAATTTAACTTATTCTTTGTTAAAGACCAACTGGAAGTTTGGGGATCTATATTTTAATGACAAAGGTCGGAGTGTACTTTTTCCTTTTTCCAGAATAGCAAATGAATGTTGAGATTGTCTGTTTCCGTTCACTATGGTAATTATGAGAATATTTTGTGTATATTTTTTTTTTAAGTGAGATAGACATACTTGGAGCATATTAGCTGTTTTTGGTTATCAAAGAACATAGTTATCATTTACTATCAGCTGATATAGAATCAACACATTAATAACATATTATGATATTTCTTTTACTTGATAATTCTTGTCCTTGCGGTATGTTGATTCCTTAAACAGTTTGATTTTTATTGTTTTTAATTCTATTTCTCAATCAAGACGTATCGAATGATTATCATTGAGCTAATGTGATTTAATTCTGTTAAAGTCTTGAATTCAGTTATGTCAGACTTTTTTAAGAATTTCAAATGTCCATGGTGTGATGTATGAATAAATTTTCAATTCTATAAAAATAAGATCTTTATTTCATATTTCATATATGAGAAAATATATTTCGTTGAATATATATCCCTATTACATATTCCTTTATATATTTTCCTCTGTAAGCATTTATTACTTAAGTATAGGTGGGGGTAGGGTGGGCGTAGGCGGGGGGAGCGGGCTTGTAGGTGGGCTTGTACTCGGGGTACTGAGCCTCGCCCTCGTAGGTGACCTCAGCTACATAACCGTCGCCGTTGTCCACGTACTTGACGATCTGCTTGCGGCTGTCGGGGAGGTCGACGGTGTAGCTGCCCTCGGTCTTGTAGCCGTCGCGGGACTCCGAGGCGGCGAAGTTGGCACCGGAGTAGCCATCGGCGACGCCGTAGTTGTAGTTGTACTTCGGGGGCACCTGAGGTGAGCATTTTATGAAATTTCTTTCTCCGTAAATAAGTAGGGTACTTTGCATGCTTATAGAAATGAATACGGAAATTTAACAAATAAATGGAAGGTTGGTTCGATAAAAACACAGTCGATGATAGACTTACATCAGGGTATTCGGGCTCGTAGTGTGCGTGGGCATGATAAGCGGGTTCGGGGGCGTGGTAGGCAGGCTCTGGGGCGTGATAGGCAGGCTCGGGGGCGTGGTAGGCGGGTTCGGGGGCGTGGTAAGCAGGCTCTGGGGCGTGATAGGCGAGTTCGGGGGCGTGGTAAGCAGGCTCGGGGGCGTGGTAAGCAGGCTCGGGGGCGCGGTAGGCGGGTCCGGGGGCGTGGTAGGCGGGTTCGGGGGCGTGGTAGGCGGGTTCGGGGGCGTGGTAAGGTGTGGGTCTAGGTGTATAGACGAGGGGAAGGGGGTTGTGGACAGGGGCCTTGTCGCACAGAGCGACGACAGCCACACAAGCGAGGACGACGACCTGTGGACAGAATTGCATTATAAGGAAACACCTAACGAAACAATATGCTTATCAGGTGCAGAAACAGAAAAAGTATTATCGATCGGATAGGCACATGCTTGACAGTCAATATTCGCATTTATGTCTCAAATATGCATGCCTATATGTGTGTGTGTGTGTGTGTGTGTGTGTGGAGTAGACAATCACTGTTGAAACCCAACACAATAAATTTCTTAGGAGATAAAAAGTGTGAATTTCTTTTCACAGGATGATTTCGTACCTTGAGAGACATGGTTGGAGTGTGAATGGTAAATGTTGGTAGACATTTTTCCTTATATATGTGACAACGTGCGTATATTCGTGCGTTGGCTCCGCTGTAGGCCTTTCTCTCGTGGCCTGAGGGGATGATTATCGAGCCCTTTATATGCACTGTTCTAATCGTCAACAGGACAGTGAAAATTCTCTGTACAAAGATTTTGATAATGCCACTATTGCATATGCTATAGTCAGGTAATCATATGAATATAACTGGACATTGTTTTATTTGCAATCTAGTTAATATCATATATGAGTGTTTGTGCGTACATATATTGTGTGTGTGTACATACACACATACAATATACACATATATATACATATATACATATACATTTATAAATCATATATATATACTTTATAATAAATAATTCTAAACATATATGTTGCGAAAGAAATCAAAGCACTTTCAGATGTGACCAATTACCTTCTGTCGCTCCTCTTATCCGACTGTCACCATGTGTTTTCTCTCGGGATGGCCCGCTTGAAGGCCTCTAACCTCCACGTCTGGTGTCCGAGTCCTCAGCTTGACCAATCTTCCCCGTGCTATGACATGACAGTGCCATGGTTATCCCTGGACTTAACCCTGTTATATCCTTGAATTCAAATTTCCTTTTCTATTCTTATGCGTTCTTCAAATGCTTAAAGAATGTACGAAACAAATAATATAGATATTTATTTATAGTCTACGGTTTCCCTTGTACCCCGAATGGTGCAATTTTCATTTTGCCTTCGGAGAGTAGCAAAGCTTTTGTGCATCATTTTGACAACATCTTTTATGAGGGTTTTGATATATAGTAAACAAACAAATAAACAAAAATATTATTCATTATCCCCATTTTTTTTTTTTTTCTGTTTTGTGTGTATGGGGGAAGGGTCTACATTCTCCCTCCCCCCCACCACCCCTACTCGTTATTTAATGTCATCCCTGCTCTGTTAGGAAAGTTTTTTTTTTCCAAGCAGCTGCTCACCAGAATGTGATCGACACTATCAGTTCATGTATCATTTTTTCTATAGTTTTCTAGTGTCTTACTTTCGGTTGTCTTTTTTTTTAATTTTGGTCACTTAGAATCTTTACATAATATTTTTTTTTTCTCGGTCACAGTTTATAGGACCAGTAACTTTTGTCTGGTCCCTGAACTCTTAATTTCACTGTAATATGAAAAAACAATAACAGTAACGAGTAAATGTAAGAATTAATAAATCATGCTAACCACACTTTCATTTCAGTACTGTAATACCTTTTTTCACATTACCTGTCATTCTTGAAGCCAATATTGAGTCATTTTATCATAACACTTAATCCTCTGACAGTTTAAGCTATCCTACTTTATATGCTTTATTTCGACACTGTCATATCACTTGCTGCCCCATCCATTTCAAATATGTGTGCATATGTGGATAGATGCATACATACATACTCAAACATATAGAGAGGTGGATAGATAGATATATAGAAACATAGAGTGAATTTTAGATAGATTAATAGATAGGTACATAGATAGATGTACAGATAGAAATATGAATTGATATATGGACCTGAGTATATGTCTGTATATGTATTTTTATGTATGTGTATTTGAATAATTTTTACATGAACCCCGTGTAACAGGTAAATGGTAAGTGCATATTTTAAATTTATAATTTATTAGTGCTCTGCCTTAGGTTTTTTATTTATGGATCAGCAAAGCAAAGACCATTTGAAGAGGGCTAAGCTTAGCACAAAAAATATTTAATTATTATTGAAGTATTGGCTGTAAGATATATTTCATTTTAATGCTAGATACTGAATTTAATACTGACTTCAAATAAACGTTATCATAGAGTTTTTGCATTAATTGGACATAGATTAGCTTTCTTGTACGAATTGGCATAATTTTCTTATTAATAAAATGTTATTAAAGATGATCTAAACTTATTCTTTGTCAACACTAACTGAGAGTTGGTGATTTATATTCTAATAACACAAAAGTAGGAAAACACTTTTTTCCTTATTTCAAAATAGCAAAGGAATGCCGAGATATGATATGAACATTATGAGAATATTTTGTTTTTGTTTTTCACTGAAATTAAATAAACGTACTTGACCTCTTTTAGATGTTTTATCCAATAATATAATCATTTATTATCGGATAATATAGAATTGACACATTAATAAACATGTTACGTTATTTCTTTTACTTGTTCATCCTTGTCCTTGCAGTATGCTGATTCCTTTTACTTAGAACGTCGTTTTCTAGTTTATCATAACGTATAAATATATAAATGATTCATTCAGTTACGTCAGATTTTTTGAGAATTTGAACTCTCCATGATAGGATGTATAAGTAGAATTTTAGTTTCATAAAAACAAGATCTTTATTTTCATATATAAGTTCATTATTTAAGCATAGGCGGGGGTAGGGGGTGCGTGATAGGGAGCGGGCTTGTAGGTGGGGGTGTACTCGGGGTACTGAGCCTCGCCCTCGTAGGTGACCTCAGCAATAAGACCGTCGCCGTTGTCCACGTACTTGACGATCTGCTTGCGGCCGTCGGGGAGGTCGACGGTGTAGCTGCCCTCGGTCTTGTAGCCGTCGCGGGACTCCGTGTGCCCGAGGTTGACGCCGGAGTAGCTATCGGCGACACCGTAGTTGTAGTTGTACTTCGGGGGCACCTGAGGAGGCGGAAGTTTGATTATAAAAGCCCTGGTACCGAGGATACTAACAGAAGTGAATGCGAAAGTCTTACTCTACTTTTACGTATAATATAAAAGCATAATAAGAAATCGTCCATGGTAAACGTGATGATGCTCTCTTAATTATCATTTATATTGATTACAAAACTACTTACAGCAGGATATTCGGGCTCGTAGTGTGCGTGGGCGTGGTAGGCGGGTTCGGGGGCGTGGTACGGTGCAGGGGCATGGTAAGCAGGTCTAGGGGTGTAGACAGGGGGATGGGGGTCCTGGACTGGGGCCTTGTCGCACAGAGCGACGACAGCCACGCAGGCGAGGACGGCGACCTGAGGACAGAGCTATAACTTACTTGTTGTAAAGACAGAAAGACAACTTGGACAGAATACAAAATGAAACTATATGCTTACTTGATGCAGAAACAGAAATGGTATTACGAACACAAGTAATATCGCTCGGATAGCCAATTTACATATATACGTTTACTACATGTATATGCATGCCTATGTGTATATATGTATATGTATATATATGTATATGTATATATATATGTATATATATGTATATATATATATATATATATATAATATATGTATATATATTTGTGTGGGTGGGTGGGTGTCTGCATTTGTGTATTTGTGTGTGTGGAGTAAACAGTCACTGCTGTAAACCCAATATTGTAAATTCCTTCGGAGATTGAAGGTCTGAATTTCTTTTCACAGGAGGATTTCGTACCTTGAGAGACATGGTTGGAGAGTGAATGATAATTGATGGTTGACACTTTCCCTTATATATGCGACAGCGTGCGTGCGTTCGTGCGTTGGCTCCGCTGTCGGCCTTTCTCTCGTGGCCTATCGAGCTGATTATCGAGTCCTTGAAATGCATTTTTCTAATCCTCAAAAGTGAATATTCTCTGTACATAAATTTTGGTCTTGCCACTATCGCATATGCTCTCCTCATATCCATCATATGAATGTAACTGGACATTTCTTTGTTTGCAATCTAGTTAATACTGTATATATATATATACACATGTGTGTGTGTGTGCGTGTGTGTGCATACACACACAGTGCTGTGTGGCGCAGTGGTAGCGTTCTCGTCTAGCAATCTTGTTGACTTGCGCTCAATTCCCGTATCGTCAGTGGATGATAACCCCGGCCTTCCCTTGCACACAAGGGGTAGTTGAGAGGAACAGACAACCATAATTCGACTGAAGTCACACCAAACCCTAAATTATTATTATCATATATATAAAAGTGCATATATATATATTATATACATACATATATACACATCAATACCTATATAAGAATCTATATATAAAAAAAAAATCATACAGAGCACTGTGAAATTAGCCCTGTGACCAATTACCTTCTGTCGCTATCAACTTCTCCCTCGTGTTTTCTCTCGGGATGGCCCGTTTGAAGGTCTCTTACCCCCACGCACCATGTTTGGGTCTTCAGGTTTGGCCCATCTTCCCCGTGTCACGACATGACAGTATCATCCCAGGACCGAACCCTGTCATATCCTTGTTGTTAAGATTTCTTTTCATATCTTAATCTTTTCTTTACCCTTTCTTCATATACTAAGAGGTTATAGGAAAAATAATATAGATATCTTATTCATAGTAAAGGGTTTCCCGTACACCCCTAATGGTGCAAAGATGCATCTTTCATTTTGTGCATTGTCTTACGAAAATCCTAAAAGACACCCCTGACAGGTTTTGATCTTTTGTAAACAAACAAATAAACAAAAATATTATTGACTTCATTGTATTTTATGGTTCTCATTTTGCCCTACATTTTCTTTCTTCTTTCCTCTTTCACTCTTCTCCCCCCCCCCCCCATACCATTTAATTAATTACGTCCATGGTCAGTTAGGAAACTATCTTACAGGCAGCTGCTCAGTTCATGTATCATTTTTATTTTTCAGTACTTTTCTTGTATCTTTCTCTCGGTTGGCTTCATTTTCATTTAGGTCACTCACTCATCTTTACATAATCAAGTTTTTTTTTCCTCTCTTTATCTCTCTCACAGTTTTAAGGGCCATTAATTTATGTCTAGTCCCTTAATTCCTAATGCCATTGCAATGTATTTTAAATAAAAAAAAACAGTGACAGTAACGAGTAAAGAAAGGAATTAATAAATCATACTGACTACACGTTTAGTACTGCAATATCCTTCGTTTCACATTGTCTATCATTTTTAAAGCCAACATTGAGTCACTTTATCATAACACTTAATACACAGACAGGCTTAGCTATTATACTTTTATTTACTTTTTTCGACATTGTCATACCACTTGCTGCTCCATTCATTCCAAATATGGATATATATGTGGATAGATACATACATATATACACAGACGTGTAGATAGACATATAGATAGAGAGACTGGAAATTAGATAGATAGATAGGTAGAGGAATATAGAGAGATGGATAGATATAAAGATGAACTGATGGACACATAAATGAATGAGAGTATATGTGTGCGTGTATATGAATGTTTTTTTGTTTTTTTTTTGTTTTGTTTTTTTAGTTATCTTTTTTTTTCCATAAAACCCAGATAACGGGTAAATCGGAAGTACATATATCATATCTATAAGGTACAGAGAGCAATTTAAAAGGACTAAGCTTAGCGCAGAAAAAAAGTAATTAATCGTTATTGAAGTATTGAGTAAAAGTATGCCATATCATCACAGATTTATTGTCTGATATTAATTGATTCCTCTCTAATGTCAAATTCAAAAAACCTACTTGATCCCTTTTAGATTTTATTACCAAACATTATTATCATTTACCATCGAATGGTATCCTGTTCCTACTTCAATAAGTATCTTATTACGTTATTTTTTTTCTTGTTCATTCTTGTCCTTGATTTTTTTATTGTTGACCTAAAATTTAATTTACTGATCAGGACATATCAAATAAATGTAACTTAGCTTGTGTGATTTAATTCTGTTTAAGTCTTGAATTCAATTAAGTCAGATATTTTGTGAATTTCAAGTTTCTTGGGTGTGTTCTATGAATAAAATTTCAAAATTATAAAAATAAGATCTTTATTTCATATTTCATAAATGGGAAAATATATTTCGTTGAAAATATACCCCTGATATATCTTTCCATATCTTTCTCATCGTAAACATTCATTAGTTAAGCATAGGCGGGGGTAGGGTGGGCGTAGGTGGGGGGAGCGGGCTTGTAGGTGGGGGTGTACTCGGGGTACTGAGCCTCGCCCTCGTAGGTCACCTCAGCTACAAGACCGTCGCCGTTGTCCACGTACTTGACGATCTGCTTGCGTCCGTCGGGGAGGTCCACGGTGTAGCTGCCCTCGGTCTTGTAGCCGTCGCGGGACTCCGTGTGACCGAGGTTGACGCCGGAGTAGCTATCGGCGACACCGTAGTTGTAGTTGTACTTCGGGGGCACCTGAGGAGGCGGAAGTTTGATTATAAAAGCCCTGGTACCGAGGATACTAACAGAAGTGAATGCGAAAGTCTTACTCTACTTTTACGTATAATATAAAAGCATAATAAGAAATCGTCCATGGTAAACGTGATGATGCTCTCTTAATTATTATTTGTATTGATTACAAAAATACTTACATCAGGATATTCGGGCTCGTAGTGTGCGTGGGCGTGGTAGGCGGGTTCGGGGGCGTGGTAAGGTGCAGGGGCATGGTAAGCAGGTCTAGGAGTGTAGACGGGGGGGAGGGGGTCCTGGACTGGGGCCTTGTCGCACAGAGCGACGACAGCCACGCAGGCGAGGACGGCGACCTGTGGACAGAGCTATAAGTTACTCGTTGTAAAGACAGAAAGACAACTTGAATGAAACTATATGCTTACCTGATGCAGAAACAGAAATGGTATTACGAACACAAGTAATACCGCTCGGATAGCCAATATATATATATATACGTTTACTACATGCCTATGTATATATATATATACATATATATTTATATACATGTATATGTATATATATATGTATATATATATGTATATGTATATATATATATTCGTATATATATGTATATATATATATATATATATATATATTTATATATATATATATATAAAATATATGTATATATATTTGTATGTGTGGATGGGTGTCTGTATGTAAACTGTCACTGCTGTAAACCCAATATTGTAAATTCCTTCGGAGATTGAAGGTCTGAATTTCTTTTCACAGGATTTCGTACCTTGAGAGACATGGTTGGAGAGTGAATGATAATTGGTGGTTGACGCTTTCCCTTATATATGCGACAGCGTGCGTGCGTTCGTGCGTTGGCTCCGCTGTAGACCTTTCTCTCGTGGCCTATCGAGCTGATTGTCGAGTCCTTGAAATGCATTTTTCTGATCGTCAAAAGTGAATATTCTCTGTACATAAATTTTGGTCTTGCCACTATCGCATATGCTATCCTCAGGTAATCATTTGAATGTAACTGATCATTTCTATATTTGTAATCTAGTTAATACTGTGTATATATATGAATGTATGTGTGTGTGTGTGTGTGTGCATACACACACAGTGCTGTGTGGCGGAGTGGTAGTGTTCTCGTCTAGCAAGCCTGTAGACCTGCGCTCAATTCCCGTATCGTCAGTGGATGATAACCCCGGCCTTTCCTTGCACACAAGGGGTAGTTGAGAGGAACAAACAGACAACCATAATTCGACTGAAGTTACACCAAACCCTAAATTATTATTATCATATATATAAAAGTGCATATATATATATTATATACATACATATATATACATCAATACCTATATAAGAATCTATATATCTAAAAGAATCATACAGAGCACTGTGAAATTAGCCCTGTGACCAATTATCTTCTGTCGCTCTTCTTATCAGACTATCAACTTCTCGCTCGTGTTTTCTCTCAGGATGGCCCGTGTGAAGGTCTCTTACCCCCACGCACCATGTTTGAGTCTTCAGGTTTGGCCCATCTTCCTCGTGTTATGACATGACAGTATCATCCCAGGACCGAACCCTGTCATATCCTTGTTAAGATTTCTTTTCATATCTTAATCTTTTCTTTAGCCTTTCTTCATATACTAAGAGGTTATAGGAAAAATGATATAGATATTTTATTCATAGTAAAGGGTTTTCCTTACACCCCTAATAGTGCAGAGATGCATCTTTCATTTTGTCTTCGGAGGTGATAATTTTTTTGTGCACTGTCTTACGAAAATCCTAAAAGACACCCCTGACAGGTTTTGATATTTTGTAAACAAACAAATAAACAAAATATTATTCACTTCATTGTATTTTATGGTTCTCATTTTGCCCTACATTTTCTTTCTTCTTTCCTCTTTCACTCTTCCCCACCCCCCCCATACCATTTAATTAATTACGTCCATGGTCAGTTAGGAAACTATCTTACAGGCAGCTGCTCAGTTCATGTATCATTTTTATTTTTCAGTACTTTTCTAGTATCTTTCTCTCGGTTGGCTTCATTTTCATTTAGGTCACTCACTCATCTTTACATAATCAAGTTTTTTTTTCCTCTCTTTATCTCTCTCACAGTTTTAAGGGCCATTGATTTATGTCTAGTCCCTTAATTCCTAATGCCATTGCAATGTATTAAAAAAAAAAAAAAACAGTGACAGTAACGAGTAAAGAAAGGAATTAATGAATCATATTGACTACACGTTTAGTACTGCAATATCCTTCGTTTCACATTGCCTATTATTTTTAAAGCTAACATTGAGTCACTTTATCATAACACTTAATACACAGACAGGCTTAGCTATTATACTTTTATTTACTTTTTTCGACATTGTCATACCACTTGCTGCTCCATTCATTCCAAATATGGATATATATGTGGATAGATACATACATATATACACAGACGTGTAGATAGGCATATAGATAGATAGACTGGAAATTAGATAGATAGATAGGTAGAGGAATATAGATAGATGGATAGATATAAAGATGAACTTATGGACACATAACTGAATGAGAGTATATGTGTGCGTGTATATGAATGTATGTTTTTTTTTTTTTTTTTTTATTACATTTTTTTTTTTCATAAAACCCAGGTAACGGGTAAATCGTAAGTACATATATCATATCTATAAGGTACAGAGAGCAATTTAACAGGACTAAGCTTAGAGCAGAAAAAAGTAATTAATCATTATTGAAGTATTGAGTAAAAGTATGCCATATCATCACAGATATATTGTATGATATTAATTGCTACCTTTCTAATATCAAATTCATAAAACCTACTTGATCCATTTTAGATTTTATCATCAAACATAATTATCATTTACCATCGAATGATATATTGTTCCCACTTCAATAAGTATTTTATTACGTTATTTTTTTACTTGTTCATTCTTGTCCTTAAAATATTTTTATTGTTGACTTAAAATTTAATTTACTAATCAGTTAGGACGTATCAAATAAATGCCAATGAGCTAATGTGATTTAATTCTGTTTAAGTCTTGAATTCAGTTAAGTCAAACATTTTGTGAATTTCAAGTTTCTATGGTGTGTTCTATGAATAAAATTTCAAAATTATAAAAATAAGATCTTTATTTCATATTTCATAAATGGGAAAATATATCTCGTTGAAAATATACCCCTGATATATCTTTCCATATCTTTCTCTTCGTAAACATTCATTAGTTAAGCATAGGCGGGGGTAGGGTGGGCGTAGGCGGGGGGAGCGGGCTTGTAGGTAGGGGTATACTCGGGGTACTGAGCCTCGCCCTCGTAGGTGACCTCAGCTACAAGACCGTCGCCGTTGTCCACGTACTTGACGATCTGCTTGCGGCCGTCAGGGAGGTCCACGGTGTAGCTGCCCTCGGTCTTGTAGCCGTCGCGGGACTCCGTGTGACCGAGGTTGACGCCGGAGTAGCTATCGGCGACACCGTAGTTGTAGTTGTACTTCGGGGGCACCTGAGGAGGCGGAAGTTTGGTTATAAAATCCCTGGTACCGAGGATACTAACAGAAGTGAATGCGAAAGTCTTACTCTACTTTTACGTATAATATAAAAGCATAACAAGAAATCGTCCATGGTAAACGTGATGATGCTCTCTTAATTATTATTTGTATTGATTACAAAAATACTTACAGCAGGATATTCGGGCTCGTAGTGTGCGTGGGCGTGGTAGGCGGGTTCGGGGGCGTGGTAAGGTGCAGGGGCATGGTAAGCAGGTCTAGGGGTGTAGACGGGGGGGAGGGGATCTTGGACTGGGGCCTTGTCGCACAGAGCGACGACAGCCACGCAGGCGAGGACGGCGACCTGAGGACAGAGCTATAAGTTACTTGTTGTAAAGACAGAGAGACAACTTGGACAGAATACAGAATGTAACTACATGCTTACCTGATGCAGAAACAGAAATGGAATTACGAACACAAGTAATATCGCTCGGATAGCCAATTTACATATATACGTTTACTACATGTATATGCATGCCTATGTGTATATATATATATATATGTATATGTATATATATAAAATATATGTATATATATTTGTGTGGGTGGGTGGGTGTCTGTATGTGTGTATTTGTGTGTGTAGAGTAAACTGTCACTGCTATAAACCCAATATTGTAAATTCCTTCGGAGATTGAAGGTCTGAATTTCTTTTCACAGGAGGATTTCGTACCTTGAGAGACATGGTTGGTGAGTGAATGATAATTGATGGTTGACACTTTCCCTTATATATGCGACAGCGTGCGTGCGTTCGTGCGTTGGCTCCGCTGTCGGCCTTTCTCTCATGGCCTATCGAGCTGATTATCGAGTCCTTGAAATGCATTTTTCTAATCGTCAAAAGTGAATATTCTCTGTACATAAATTTTGGTTTTGCCACTATCGCAAATGCTATCCTCAGGTAATCATATGAATGTAGCTGATCATTTCTTTATTTGCAATCTAGTTAATACTTTGTATATACATATATATATGTATGTGTGCGTGTGTGTGCATGTGTGTGTATGTCGTGTGTATGTCGTGTGTGTATGTGTGTGTGTGTGTGTGTGTGTGTGCATACACACACAGTGCTGTGTGGCGAAGTGGTAGTGTTCTCGTCTAGCAAGCCTGTAGACCTGCGCTCAATTCCCGTATCGTCAGTGGATGATAACCCCGGCCTTTACTTGCACACAAGTTGTTGAGAGGAACAAGCAGACAACCATAATTATACTGAAGTCACACCAAACCCTAAATTATTATTACCATATATATAAAAGTACATATATATATATATATATATTATATACATATAGATATATTATATATATACAGATATACTATATACATATATATATATAAATCAATACCTATATAAAATCTATATATCTATACAATCATACAGAGCACTGTGAAATTAGCCCTGTGACCAATTATCTTCTTATCAGACTATCAACTTCTCCCTCGTGTTTTCTCTCGAGATGATCCGTGTGAAGGTCTCTTACCCCCACGCATCATGTTCGAGTCCTCAGGTTTGGCCCATCCTTCCCCTGTCATGACATGACAGTATCATGGCATCCCAGGACCAAACCCTGTCATATCCTTGTTGTTAAAATTTCTTTTCATTTCTTAATCTTTTCTTTAGCCTTTCTTCATATACTAAGAGGCTATAGGAAAAAAAATAATATAGATATTTTATTCATAGTAAAGGGTTTTCCTTGCACCCCTAATAGTGCAGAGATGCGTCTTTAATTTTGTTTTCGGAGGTGATAATTTATTTGTGCACTGTCTTACGAATATCCTAAAAGACACCCCTGACAGGTTTTGATCTTTTGTAAACATATAAACAAAAATATTATTCACGTCGTTAAATTTTATGGTTTTCATTTTGCCCTACATTTTCTTTCTTCTTTCCGCTTTCACGCTTTGCAATGTATTTTATATCAAAACACAGTGACAGTAACGAGTAGTCAAAGGAATTAATAAATCATACTAACTACACGTTTAGTACTGCAATATCCTTCGTTTCACATTGCCTATATTTTTTAAAGCCAACAGTGAGTCACTTTATCATAACACTTAATACACAGACAGGATAAGCTATTATACTTTTATTTACTTTTTCGACATTGTCTTACCACTTGCTGCCCTATCCATTCCAAATATGGATATATATGTGGATAGAAACATACATACATACACACACGTGTATATCGGTATATAGAAAGATAGATTGGAAATTAGATAGATAGATAGGTAGAGGAATATAGATAGGTGGATAGATACAAAGATGAACTGATGGACATATAACTGAGTGAGAGTATATGTGTGCGTGTATATGAATGTTTTTTTGTTTTTGTGTTTTTTTAGTTTTTTTAGTTTGTTTTAGTTTTTTTCATAAAACCTAAGTAACGGGTAAATCGTAAGTACATATATCATATCTATAAGGTACAGAGAGCAATTTAACAGGACTAAGCTTAGCGCAAAAAAAGTAATTAATCGTTATTGAAGTATTGAGTAAAAGTATGCCATATCATCACAGATATATTGTATAATATTAATTGATACCTCTCTAATATTAAATTCAAATAAACGTACTTGATCCATTTTAGATTTTATCATCAACCATAATTATCATTTACCATCGGATGATATACTGTTAACACATTAATAAGTATCTTATTACGTTATTTTTTTACTTGTTCATTCTTGTCCTTGAAATATTTTTATTGTTGACTTAGAATTTAATTTACTAATCAGTTAGGACGTATCAAATAAATGTAACTGAGCTAGTGTGATTTAATTCTGTTTAAGTCTTGAATTCAGTTAAGTCAGATATTTTGTGAATTTCAAGTTTCTATGGTGTGTTCTATGAATAAAATTTCAAAATTATAAAAATAAGATCTTTATTTCATATTTCATAAATGGGAAAATATATTTCGTTGAAAATATACCCCTGATATATCTTTCCATATCTTTCTCTTCGTAAACATTCTTTAGTTAAGCATAGGCGGGGGTAGGGTGGGCGTAGGTGGGGGGAGCGGGCTTGTAGGTGGGGGTGTACTCGGGGTACTGAGCCTCGCCCTCGTAGGTGACCTCAGCTACAAGACCGTCGCCGTTGTCCACGTACTTGACGATCTGCCTGCGGCCGTCAGGGAGGTCCACGGTGTAGCTGCCCTCGGTCTTGTAGCCGTCGCGGGACTCCGTGTGACCGAGGTTGACGCCGGAGTAGCTGTCGGCGACACCGTAGTTGTAGTTGTACTTCGGGGGCACCTGAGGTGAAAGTCTAATGAATAATTTTCCTCTGTGTGTATCCATGGTTCTTTGCAAGCTTATAGAAAGGATTGCGTATATCTAACAAATAATCGGAAAAAAAATATTTGTATCGTTTACTGATTCCAGAAATACTTACAGCAGGATATTCGGGCTCGTAGTGGGCGTGGTAGGCGGGTTCGGGGGCGTGGTAAGGTGTAGGGGCGTGATATGCAGGTCTTGGGGTGTAGACGGGGGGAGGAGGGGCGTGGACTGGGGCCTTGTCGCACAGAGCGACGACAGCCACGCAGGCGAGGACGGCGACCTGTGGACAGAGCTGCATGTTACTTGTTATAAGGAAAGACATAAAGACAACTTGTACAGAATATAAAATGTGCTTACTAGGTGCAGAAAAAAGTAAAAATGGTGATATGAATAAAACTATTATCGCTGGGAGTGGGACATGCTTAAAGGCCAATTTACGCATTTATGGTTCATATATGCATACGAATGCCTATATATATGTGTGTGTGTGTGTGTGTGTGTGTGTTTATGTAGAAAGTAAAATTTCACTGTTGTAAACATTACACCGTAAATTCCTAACTTATTAGTCCGAATTTCTTTTCACAGGAGGATTTCGTACCTTGAGAGACATGGTTGGAGAGTGAATGATAATGGGTGGTTGACACTTCCCCTTATATATGCGACAGCGTGCGTTCGTTCGTTTCTCTCTCAGTCCGAGGGGGCGATTTTCGAGCCCTTGAAGTGCAGTATTCTAATCGTCAATATGACAATGGATATTATCTTCGAATATTCTTTTTGATATCGCTATTAGGCTCTATACTTTAATCCGGTAATAATCGGTATATGAATATTATTTTTTAAACTGTAAATCAATAGAAAGTTTATCTCGGTCTGTCTATCAGTCTGTCTCTTTATGTGTGTGTATATTTATGTATGTATATATATGTGTGTGTGTGTATATATATACATATGCGTGTATGTGTGTATACATTTATATACATACATACATACATATATATAAATATATATACGCATATGTGTGTATATATATATATATATATATATATATATATATACGCACGCACACATATGCATACATATATATATACAAATATATATGTATGTGTGTTTGTGTACTTATGTATATATATACATATGCGTGTGTGTTTATACATTTTTATACATATGTATATATATATATATATAATCATAAATGCTCACTCAC